TGCTCTTTCATGTTAAAATGGTTCACATTTTGTAATTGAATGAATACATGCTAGACTTTTTCCTTTTTTTTTTTGGTTCCGGGGATCGAACTCAGGACCTTACGCTTGTGACGCAGGCGGCAGCACCGCTGAGCTAAATCCCCGGCCCTGACTATATGCTTTTTCGTGTCAATATTTATTGCTCTTTCATGTTAAAATGGTTCACATTTTGTAAATTGTATATGGACTCAGTGGATTTCCCCCCACAGCTTTGATAAAGCTATATAGCTATTTTCTAGCGTCGTAAAGAAAGAGATGGGTCATTGAAAAATATTGCAGTAGTAAAAATAATGATGTTGTAGCAAAGATAAAATTTACATAGAAAATGAGCATGCAATGGGTAATAATAATAAAAAGAATTAACAGTGGAAGAAATTACAGCAAGGTTGAGGGATCATTACGTTCAAACTTCAGGTAAATCCACACCAGTGTTTGAGATGGGATGCATGAAAGGGCATTGCAGTTATTGTGAAAGATGCTGGTCCACAAAAGGGAAACTTTTTTTTTCTTTTAACTGGGAATAATGCTGTTTTTATTTTTCTCTCTTCTCAGGTGCAGCTAAACTGCTCTCCACTCACCCTCTGGTCAATCTCACCCTGGGCAGCCTGCTGGATGATCAGCACTGGCATTCTGTGCTCATCCAGCATTTGGGCAAGCAGGTCAACTTCACAGTGGACGAGCACAGGCATCATTTCCATACCCAGGGAGAATTCAGTTACCTGGATCTCGATTATGAGGTGTGATGGTTACATTTCAATTAATACAGATATTCGGATGTGTATGTGGTTTAATTTCACAGCAGAAAATATGCTCCAGAGAACCCACCTTTACAGTAAATCACAAGGCTGGCAAGGCATTTCCCAGTGTGGCCTAACTCACAGTAGCAGGTTTGGGCTGGCAGGTGGTGCCTGAGGCTTCATCTTCCTCACAATATGTAAATTTATTATTATGGCATGGGATCATCCTTTACCTGAAATATGCAGCCACAGCTCTTCATAGACAGAAAAGTTCCCCACAGAGAGCTTTCATTAACCCTAGCACATATAGGATGAGTTGCATGATTGCTTTGTGTTACAGTGTGTTCCTGAGCAGTGAAGATTTATTTATAGGGTAGAGTGTAGCAACAAACATTAATTAACTCATTAACAATTGGTTCAAACACACAGATACCAATGTGTGCTAAAAATTTACTCAAAATAAAATGTCATAATTAGTTACAGTATTAAATAGGTCAAGTTTTACCATGGATATAAAGTATTTTTTTCTTCATCAAGCAATAAATATCAAAGCCAGATGTGATTAACAACTTGTATGGATAATCAAGCTCTACTGTAAATGAAGACTGAATGCATATAAATTTGTTTTAAAATTGTGCCTTAATTTTTTTCAGTGTATGTTGATGAAAACTTGATCTGTATATGATGATTACAACTATAGTTGCTAATCATACTTATTTAAGCAGATTATCATAAAATCACTAAACAATATTATTGATGCCACTTTTCTTTCTAAGATCAGCTTTGGAGGGATTTCAGCACCTTCAAAATCGGTGTCATTCTCACATAACAATTTCCATGGATGTTTAGAAAATCTCTATTATAACGGAGTGGATATCATTGATTTGGCCAAGAAACAAAAACCACAGATCATCATTATGGTAAGAGTCTTCATATGATGGAATGAGTAAAAATACAAGTATTTCTGCAATACAATTGCTTCATTTTAGTTTCCTATATGATATGACATTTTAGAGATTGTTTGTATTTAAATTCTTTCTCTGATTGGCAATATACGTAAAAGAGATTAATTCTATTTAAAGGAATTATAATTCACAGAACATAATTTTACTCTTATATGAAGTAAAGCAGTTATTTTTAACAGTAGATATTTTAATTTTGTTGTGGTATTATTACTCCCAGGAGGCTAATTTCGTTTTGCTCTGTAATTTTCTTAATAAGATATTCCCAAACCAACTCCCCAAACGAGCATACAGTTTCCAGAATCAAATAACATGCATGTCTATTAGAAATATATTGGAAAAAACTTGTATTTTGCCATGGTCACTTATAACAAATAAAATGAATTGGCTGTTACAACGCTGCATCTTCCATTTTGTCAAAATAGTAGTGTTGCTCAGGCTGCAGTATGTTCTGGTCTATGGAAGTGTGGCAGAATTAAAGCTAACTAGTGATCATTGTTCAGTCAGGGAAGCAGAGCCACTGTGCACATTGGGGGATCTCTCCTAGGACTTGGATCTTAGCATTGCTAGAGGAATGTGGAAGTGAAGGTCTGGCAGAGGAAGGTGGAAGATGAGAAAAGCCACTCATTCTGCCTGCAGCCATAGTTCTCATAGACAGGTTAGACTTGGTAGAGCATTTCCAGCCTATGGAGGAAGTTTTCTGAAGGGTCTCTGGGACCTGTGGCCCCTGGGGAAACATTGCTCTTGGGGATCCCTAGCCAATCATCTGAGGGGGCAAATCTGACCTCAGAGGACTCAGCCTTTGGAAAAAAGAGAAGGTGGAGTGGAGGAGAGCAAGACAGAGGCATAAAGCCCCATCTCAGTGGGATAAACCAGCAGATCCTTCATTGTGCATAAACCCCAGAATCCCTCCGAGCAAAAAGCTAGTGTTTACCTCAAAGAGGATACAAAGAAGAAAATTTTGGAAAATATAATTTCCAGCTGTACCAATTTGATAATAGAAAGCTAGTCTAAATTGATTTTAATGAATTTCTTTCATTGCTTAAAATTCAAAATATGTAAATTTAAGCTCATGTTGCATTAGAAAAATCCCAACGCACATCAAAATATTTATTACTAGAGAAGTATTTCATTCCAAATTCTCTCTGAATTGGTGGTACTTTTATGATCATAACATCGGCAAGATTTTGAAGTAGGTTTTTTATGAAAGAGAAAATAATTTAAAAGGAAAATAAAAATATTACAGATAGATATGTCTATGTGTTTCATCTAAAAAATGGATTTCCAGAAAATGCACCCATACTTCCTTGGCAAGAAGTTATGCTGCTTGTAGAGCAGCAAGCAGCTGTCCATTGAAGCACAAGGCCAAACTGCAGTGAGTGACATGTTTTCTTTTCCACTGGGTTTGATAGTCTTATAATTACTTACATACTATGGGTTAGTACCCAAGTTAGCATTGTTTTCTCTTTAGCTTTTGTTGTTTCATTCACTGGAACACAATAATGGCTGACAATAAAAGTTAACTCATTTTTAATAGAATCATAATATAGTCAAATAATTTTGTTTGACCAAGACCATGAGTTTTCCTTCCAATGTGTATTCTTTTAATGGTTTATCTCATTGGTTTTTCAAATCTATATTAAAGCTGAGAAATGAGGAAATGACCAAAGAAAGTAGGTGAAGAACCTTTAACATACAATATATGCCCAGGATTTGAATTTTCATGGTGGTAGGAAAATGTTGTTGAAAATTGAAGATCAAGGGAGATTGATAAGCACCATTCATGAATATTTCAAATTCCATTACTAATGGGACATGAATAACACGCTGAAATCTTTCTTCTACTTTATCCTCAGGGAAATGTGTCATTTTCTTGTTCACAACCACAGTCTGTGCCTCTTACTTTCCTGAGCTCCAGAAGTTACTTAGCACTGTCAACCTTTGCCAGAGACGATGAGATTTCGGTTAGTTTTCAATTTCGCACCTGGAATAAGGCAGGACTTCTGCTTTTCAGTGAACTACAGCTCGTTTCTGGGGGTCTGCTCCTCTTGCTCAGTGATGGAAGACTTAAGCTGAATCTCCATCCACCAGGAAAATTACCCAGTGACATCACAGCAGGTAATAAATGTAGTCCCCCAGGCAAAGCATATGGATTTGAAAGATTTCATTATCTCCATATCCCTTCTCCACAATTTTTATGCATAACCAAAAAATTAACATTTGTTTAACAAATAGATACTTGAGTTAATAAGATTATCAGTCCTCTTCCTTAGAGGAACTTGATTCCAGTTTCCTTTTAAATATGATCCCAATGTTTGCAATTCTTATTAACCAGCATGATAGCAGTGGAGGAAGAGAAACTTTCTCCTATGACCCTCTCTCCCACTCAGACAAACCATTAGCATATCCACAGGAAATGTGTTTTGGAAAAAAATGTGAAAGATCTTGAAATAGCCCAATAAGTTAACTGAATATCTTTCAATGGAAAACTTGACTTTGACAAACATAGCTATTGTCTCACATCTTTCTGGGATTTATATATCACTATATTAATATCGAATGTAAAATTACATATTTAGCCAAGTTAACATTACTTGCTGTTGTAGTTTATGAAGACTTGCATACATTTGGGAAGATGCAAAGATGTATGCAAAGTTACTCATTTGGGCCAGCGGTTGGAATGCTCTCCGCTTTTAGGCAATATGGTATCATTTTAATGATTAGAAGTAATATAATTAAAGTGATGATGTGAGTGTCTAAAAAATTAATGTCCAATTTAGGTCAGTGCTTTGAGTGAGGGATATTTTTGTCTCTTCATTAAAATTATATAGTTCTCAACAAGGGAGCTCATCACATTTTTACATATATAGAATAGCATTCAAGCTCGGCAACTAGAGGTCACATTGGGATAAATTGCTACATTAATTTAATAAATGATCTTTAAATACAATTTAAAGATGCCATTGTATTGCTTCTCTATATGAACTATGGCAAAATATTCATACATTATGACTTGGAGGGTAAAGTAGTTAAGAGACAGTTGAAAATTAATAAGAAAACAAGTATAAAAGTGGATGCACAAATGTCTTTTCTTTATGCATCTTTTGGTTGTTAATATATCGCTTCAGTTTAAATATAGGAACAGAAACTTCAATATTAATTATGAGTTTTAGTGGGTACTATGCTATGACATTTTATGTAATGCTCAAAATGTGGTAGATTTGTGGGCTTGACGAAAGGAAATAAATTAATCAGGGTCATATTAATAATTAATAGGCCCCTAAAAGGAGGGTCTAAAAATGTAAACTTGCCATTAATGTGTAGTTTATTGTGATATATTTGACATTCTCTGAGGTGATTATATTCATAACCTAATTTTCAACATTTTAAAGAAATTGCTTCAATCCAAAGCTATTGTAGTCACCCTGTGAAGCAAGTTCATTTCTAACCACTTTACAGGAATGTATAGTTAATAAATTACTAGGTTTAACTCTCTATATAATACCCCAAGTGCCTAAGATATCTAAATGGATGTTTAAATTCATGCACAATATAATATTTTATGATATATGATTTCATGTGATTATTTCCATAGCTAACAATGAGCCTATGAAGTATGAATGTCAATACAGCAAAATTGTTATACTTCAGATAATAGTAGTCAGCTTTTACTTACCAACTGTCTCTTCTTTCATTTTTCCAAAACATTAATTTTTTTTGCTAATTTTACTGAAGCAAGTATATTTTGCATATGCAAATAAGTTACTTATATGGTATTTGGGTGAGTGGTCAGGTTGTTCTCCCATAGGCCAAAACTTTTCACTTGTACTGCACTTGTAGAGTGTTTGATAATTAAAGTCATTGTCATAATGACTTTAAAGAAAGTCATGTACTTATTGTAGGTTGGTACTATACTATACTAAATCCTTCCTTTACAGAAGGGTGCCTTAACTTTTCATGGCTACTGAGTATATAAATTACTAATTTTAAAAGTTTGAAAAACTCAATGATGTTTTTTGTCTTTCACAATGGAAAAATTAAATTACATTGAGAAAGAACTGAAATATTCAAATGTTTTAAATTATTAGGTTCATTATTTAATGTACAGTTTTACAAATTGTGATTTGGAATAATTCAAAAATATTACGTCAGCCTAAGTCATTTTTGAGATATTAATGATATTGTATTATCTTAAATCATGAAACATATTAGCAGTATTCTAAAATTCTTCATGATACAAAATATTTTCATTCCTTGTCACCTTTATGGACGTCAAAGAAAAAAAAAACCCATTCATCCTGCATCAAGGACTCAGGTGAACAGTGCCGTTATTTGTCTTCTATTTAAAACACAAGTATTTAATTGTAAAATTTGAGGTTTCTGCTAGGATTTTAGCATTTCTGCTGCAGCTTTTGCCTAATGGTGAAAATCAGGGTTGTGAACAAGACCCTTTCCCAACTCAGGGCCCGGCTGAGTCAGGCTTGCAGGATGCGATCTGTTTCTGCATTTTTCACTGACTGGGCTTTTGGGATTCTTGTGGCCCTGGCAATGATGGAGCAGCACTCTCGCTTGCCTTCCCCAGGAGAAGCCATGTTTTAATCACCCCTTCCTTCTGTTCACCGTTGGACTCTTCCTACCTTGCAGACTATAAACTTATCCCCCTTTAAACTCCTGCTTTCCACTAAAGCGATGGGAACTAACAACCTCCATATTTTCATCTTGACAAGAGCTATCTAGTGATCTGGGTCCTTAACTCTGGTTAGTGACTACAGTTAGTAGATAGAGGAATTTTTAGTGCTTTCAGAGCACTGAAATATATTTGGAAAAGGACAAGTCTTTGGTTGTTCCTTGAATGATGACCTATGTATAACTGCCTTTTGTACCTTTACAGAGAACCTGCCCTGAGCAGCAAGCTAATTTTTACCTTGTACATCATACTTTCTAGATGCCTATTTTAATCTTTTGAGAGAGTGATGGCAGCTAAGCTGTCATAGTATTTTTTAGCAATTTAGGACCATACCAGGGATAATGTACAGGAGAGCATATTTAAACTTTTTCCTCCTGCTGTATTTTGTGTGTTTATGTGGTTTGAACCAGAGAAATGGAGGGATAGAGGGAGAGTAGATAGATAGACAGATAAAATTGTGTATGTGTGTGTGTGTCTTCATGTTCTGCTCTACAGTCATATCCTCTCCTACTATCTGCAACTGCAAACACTTCCATTTATTACTCCTGTTTTCCCTTTGTAGTCGTCAGTGTTTTCTAGCCAAAGACTGTATGGAACACATCTGGAGTTTGAACACGTCAGTTTTATTGCTTGCAACAAGAGGAACACACATGCAGCAACCACAGCATTTGTCTCAGTGCACAGGTTTAAGACATATAAGAATGACATTATATTTTATACCTAAAATGTACCAATAAACTTAATGAAAAAAAAAGAATAACTTATTACAGGAGTTTGGGTTATGTTCACTGATTTTGGGGAAGTTTCAAGGTAGCAAACAATTGCTGTAAATTAAACTCTGTCAGAAAGTGTGGGTTATTCTAAGATTAGTTATTTTTGTAAATCTTACCTAGTAAGATAGTGGATATAACTGGCACACCAAAAAGCAAAACAAAACAAAAAACCTAGTAGTCATTTATATTATCCAGAAGAGTGAAAATTTTGGTATTTTTATGGTATATGCAATAGACTCACTTTTGTCTATGTTTACACAAGATTATGGAATAGTCCTAGTCACAGGGTAAGTGGCCATGCCCAATGTTGGTGTCCCAAGAGGTTTCTAAGGACAATGCCAAGGCCTGGCTCTGGGTGCCAGGCAGCCTTTCATAGCACAAGCATCCTTGATAGTGGTTGGCCAGTCCAGGGCTGCTTTTCTCTTTCTCAAAGTTAATTGTTTGACATGAGCAAAAAACATAAGGGGGCCATTTACCTTGCAGGTGAAGAGCAGGGATTTGGGAGTCAACTTGGTTTTGTTTTTACTCGCTAAAATCAGAAGCACCACTACCAGCTAGAAGCCACCTTGGTAGTTGTTATCTTCTCTGGCCCTCACATCCTCTATATTTAACAAGAAGATAATAAGGATGATGTGATCCATAGAAAGCACAAGGTACCTGTTATAAATAATAGTTCAATAAAATTATTATTATGGTTCTACTGTTATACCACAATATACTCCCTCCCCAGACCCAAGAGTTATGAATACAGTGAACAGAATTAGCATTTAGTTACCTAATACCAGACAGAAGAAAACAGCACAAGTTCTGTAATTGTTCTATCTCTTTTTCCTGCTTCACCGTAGTGTAGCAAAGGGGGCTCACTTCTAGTCAAACATGGACGTGAAAATGAATTGTTTACTTACAAAGAATATAGAATCTGGTTTAAATTTATGCAGAGTTATTTGAAATAAGTTAGATACTTTAATTTGAATAATAAATTCCATTGACAGGTAGTAAGTTTTCAGAGGCAAATGATGTCTATTGCAAATGATGCTAGAAAATAGTTTTCTGAGGATTTCTCTGTAACAGAGTGCAAGTTTATAAACTGCTACCTGGTTACATGGATACACTTAACTATGTCAAATTACAGAGTGGGCTGCTCTGGTGGCCTTTTGTCCTTAGTCTAAGTTGGCTCCTGTTTTGGCAGTATTATTCCCAAGGCCTCCCAAGCCCCTGACTGAATCCTGTCATGTGCCTCAGGACCAGTTGGGCAGAGCACTGCCACACACTGCGTGGTTCCCAGGCCAGCACTGGCTCAGGGAAATACTGATCCATCACGAGTATAAAAATTCAGATTAAGCTTTTAGAAACTGTTACAGCAAAAAGATATTATTACAATACGATCAGTATTTTACATGTCTTTGCAATGTAAGTTTTTGGTCATTCATTGTTATCATATTTTATGAAAGTATCAGTCTGCAATAGATGGGGGAATGACACGTTCATGACTATTGGTAAGTTTGAGAAACACTTCCCATGGTCAATGGAGAGGCTAGGGTGAAGTGACAAGGAAGAGCTGAGGACACAGGGCACATCCATGCTTTGAAAACAAAGTAGGGGACAGGCGGGGCAGGGTGGGAAGGAAGGCTGCACATAGGAGCATGTGTACCCTCCTGAAGGAAGCTCTGAGGACAAATTGGGGACATTTGACTTATTTTAGTCCAATATTACACCTCAGGGATTATATAACTCTATTCCATTGTCTATTTAGAGTCCACTCTTAGAAAATGTGTTTTAAAGTATCTAACTCACATTCCTTTATCAGTTTTCAAGTCTCCTTCATTATCTTTCACACACCAAACCAGAGCTGGATCTCGGTGAGTTGGGCCTTTTCCTCATCATGGATGTTCTGTAAAGTGAGCTTCTATACCCGAGCTACATTTGTGTTAAATACATTCAGGGGGAAAAAAATCACCTATGGGAACTTTGATGTCTTTTTTATCTGAAAGCTTGCTGTAGAAACTAGCCCAGGGGAATAAAGAAATTGCATATAATAGCAGAAAAGAGGCTCTTTGGGCTGAACACAGTACTTATATATATGTTTACTAATTTCATCTGCAGAATCATGCAAAGGTAAGCGAGCAATCAGTGGGTGTAAACCTCACAGGTGAATCCACAACAGAGAGACTTACACTCTGAATCTCTGCTTGGAATTCCATCAAAGAGCTCTTGATGGACATGATTCTCTTTACAGTTGAAAGGGCCTGCCACCTCAGGGATTCCTAACACTAAAGTTGCCTTAGGAAAGACTAGAGATGATTGTTTACAGTTGATAAGAGTACCTTAATTTCTTTATAATAGTAACTTTAAATAAAGGTAAAGAATATTATTTGAATGGGGGGATAGATATGTATACATATGTAGACACACAGCTGATTCCCACTCATTACTTGTGATCGTTATGTTCTATAAAGGCCCTATGAACACTAAATTAGGGAATCCTGAACCATTACTTGTAAAGGAAACAGGATTAGTTTCTGTGAAGCTGTGTTCACAAAAAATTTTTGAACAATCAGTGTATAACTATATCTATATATGCTTTATTGAAAAACACCATATTTAGTATGCACTATATTGTTGATTCTAACTTTGCACTTATGGTCAAGAACATGCTGACTCCTGTCTGAACTAAGATTATAGAATATGTGTATTCTCTCCAAAAGACACATCACAGCCTTCTTGCACATAGGAACACTCAACACCCCTTCATGCCTATCCGTGGGGGCCACTTAAACAACGGAATCAGGTACAAATTTTTCCAAAACATATTTACAATCTGAAAGCTGAAACAGTAAAGTACAGCATTGTCATTTGACCTCAGTAGGAACATGTGCCTAGGGCAACTTAAATTCTTTGCTCCGAAAATTGTTTGCTAAATATTCTACTATAATATCTTAAGAGGTGACTACACAACAGTATTTAGTATAACCTGGAATTTGGTGAAATAGCTATACTCTTCCTAAACCCCTCCCACCAAGAAGTAAATTATATGGATGGAAGATGAAAATTTGTTTCTATGCCAAATAATGGAAATATTTTAACCATTCCGAGTAGTTTAGGTCTGGAAATTTTGTACTCTCTATTGAGGCCTTAAGATGGGAAGATAATAATGTACCATTTTTGTACATAAAGGCACTGATTTCCCACTTGGCTCCCTTTCCTCTCTTCCTTGTTTTTGGTACCAGGGATCAAACTTGGGTCCTTGCGTTTGCTAGGCAGGTGGCAGCATCACTGAGCTAAATCCCCAGCCCTTTGTTTCTTTTTTATTATACAATAGTCTCCCTTATCTGTGTTTTTTTTCCTCCTCATGGTTTCAATTACCTGAGGTCAATCACAGTCTGAAAATAATAAGTAGAAAATTGCAGAAATAAATAACTCATGAGCTTTAAGTCATTTTTATTATAGTAAATTGCTACAATTATTATGTTACTGTTGTTAATAATCTTTTACTCTGCCTAACTTACAAATTAAGTGTTATCATAGGTATGTATGAATAGGAAAAAACAGTATATCTAGACATCCACTAGGGGTCTTGGATTGTAACTCACAGATCAGGGCGGGACTGCTGTAGGCATAAGTACTATAGTCAGCTGAGCGCTCTCTTCTAACTGAGCTTCTCTCCCCAGGTGTGGGATTGAATGATGGACAGTGGCATTCCATTGCCTTATACGCAAAAAAGAATCACCTGAGTCTGATGGTGGATGGCCATGTGACCTCTGCTTCTCCTCTGCCGGGGACCGAGATTTATTCAGGTGGCACTTATTATTTTGGAGGTAAGAAAAAGAATCAGGCCACAGGGGCAACTGGACCATACTTTCATTTGCCATTCCTGTGTCTTAGGGAAGTCCTTATGCTTTAATCCATGTTAATACTAAGGAATAATTTCTCACTTTAAACACAGAAATGCTGAGAGGATCAAGATGACAAATCATATTCTAAAATGCGTTTCTACAAGGTGAACTTAGTTATGTTTATGATTTCTGTAATGAGATTTATTTTAAGTAGGCCACCTTCTTCAGTTCTTACCTTGAAGCCTTGTTATATTTTCTAATGTTAAATGGCCCTTATACATTGTCTTCTGGTTTTATTGATTGATTTTATTGCAGTATCTTTCCAATCACACCTTTTAGCTCCTCTGGAGCATCCTTGTTACTTTCCCACTGCCCAGTGCAGGACAATATTATGCCATTGCACAAACAATTTAACTTAATTAGCCATAGCAATCTCTTCTCTTTGCTAAGCAATAACGCACTGATACACTTGATGAAATCAGGACATTAATCTTCAACATCAGGCCATTTCCCTTTGAGAACAAGAAAGAATGAATCCTTTACCCATCTCATGGATGTGGGCTGATTGGACTGAAAGCTTGGAAAAGAAAACTTGAGAAATGGGAATGAATACCTGTCACTGGAAAATGAAAACAAAATGTTCTTTGTCATTAAAAATGCAGTGTTACAATTGTTAGTTGTAAGACATTTCTCTTCAACATATGTGTTTCTTATATTATCATTTTTGTATTGTTACACTGCATTTAATACTTGCTTCTGTCTAAAATCATTTTTAATTTGAGTGAAGTCACCTAATCTTCATTATTCACTAATAAAATACAAATTATTGTCTAAGAATTGACAGTGAGTGCATAGCCTATGAATCAGTTCACCAGAATTTAAAAAGCAAATGAGCAAAGGATAGTGGAGTACACTTGTAATCCTTGTACTGCAAGAGGCTGAGGTGGGAGGGCTGCAAGTTTGAGTCCAACTCAGCTTAGGGTCTTAGTGAGACCCTATCATAAAATAAAAAAGAAAAAAGGGGCTGGCAATATACCTCAGTGCAAAGCTCCTGGGTTCAATTCCTAGCACACCACACACACACACACACACACACACACAAATGAAAATAACAATAACAAATCTTGCACAATCTTACCATAAAAGGCAGTATAGATCTACAATTTTAAAAGATATAATTGCTTCCTTTACTAAGATTTGTTCATTTCTGAACCAGGTTGTTTCAGAATATATGACTGATTTTATGGCAATCCATAAGAACACATTGTTTTAATCAATAATAAGATATATAGAACAACTTAACCAAGAGTTCTCATTTCAAAGGAAAAGATTTAGAAGCACAAAAAGAGATAAGAAGGAATAAAAAACAGCCATTCTGTTAAATGATACAAAATACAAAATAGAAGACTGGATAAAAGTATTTATAAATCATGAAAGTAGGGACATAACTCAAAAAATTTTAAGGTCTTCACTTTCAGATTTAGCAATACTTAGCTACTTTGTGTAGTTTTTTTCTCTAGTGATTGCTTTTATTCATATTGAAATGTTACAGTGAAATCACATGTACACTCTGCAATTCTTTTTATTTTGATTCATATATACTATATTATTTTAAAATATTTTGGATAGTTTTAGACTTTTTGAATATTCACACAGACCTACAGAGTTCTTGTCTCTGCCTTATCCAGTGTCATGTATTATTCTTAACTTGCATCACTAGTTCATTTTAAGGTGTGCTAATAGTTCTTTTAATTACACATCTTTACATGCATACCTCTGCCTAAGAAAGAGTATATTATCAATCCATGTGTGTTCCTCTAGGATCCTGACCTTTGATCTCCCCAGGTAAGCACTCTCTTCAATTTGTAGTTTATTCTCCTTTTCTGCTTCTTTACAATTTTACCTCCGTGAAGATGTTCCTAAAAGATATACTGTAGTAGTTTCCCCATTAACATTCCAACTCCAAGGCTTTTTAATACATGCCCTGCAAAATTCAGGCTACCTTAATATTTTCAAGATTGGGACCAGCCTTGTGTCTCAAGAAACCAATTGAGAAGATCCATCTTTTTGGAAATCCACTTAGGCCTTTGGGGCTAGGAATTCTGGGATATTCAGGGGAGAGGGTTCTAAGTGGGCATATTATCTCTCCCCATGAGGCTTCCTAGGGGATGAGCAAAAGAATATCTGGAGGAAGCTTAGATTAGCACCCTCTAAAATACAGACCGGCACAGAGCCCCTGATTTTGTGGGTGGAATTGGCAGTGGATGAGGGATTCTTCCAGGTTAGAGCTGCAAGTCATGCATCCTTCACCAAAGTCCTGGGCAAACTTCAGCAGTTGGTTACCATAGAAAATCTTTTGTTCTGTGTGGATGAGAGTCTTTTCATGGCTGGGATTTATTTTATCAGGTGGAAAGCAGTTTTCAGGTTTTTAATTCTTCAGACAGATTATCTTCAAGTAAAAAAGAAAATTCCATGTTTTGAGACACTGCCCATCAGTTCTCCTTTGCCCGTCTCTGAATTCAGCCTCACATTTCCAGCTATCTTATCAGAATACAGGCAGTCTCACCTGGCCGAAATGCCCTACTGCAAAGGGTCTGACTGTTCCAACATCCAGGATTAGATCTCCACTTCCTGCCAGTATTGAGAGTGGCTGTCATGTGGGAAGACAGAGCTAAACAGGGACCAGGAGCACTCTGTGCCTGCCACACAAAGCATTCACTGTTCATCCATCACTTTATGCTTTTTAACTTTTTCCCTTCCTTGAATGAGTGCCTTTCAAAAATTCCGACTGCACTATGGTGCATTGTGCTCAGGTTTTATCGCTTATAAATTACAGATTTTAAATCTGTCTTCTCCAGATGGAGGATGGCTGAGTGTCTAATTTCTGTAATTCCCCTGTGGAATCTTTGTGCTGTGTGTAACACACCATGCAGCGCAAGTTAGGGTTACTAAACGAGGTGCAGAATTCTCACATTCCTCCTCCCTGGTGTAAAGCAAGCATTTTCTATCCACTGACCAGGCTACACTACCATGAAGTCTAACCCGACATCTCACTTCTGGCACAGTGACATAGAGTGATAATTTATCTGTCATCTTCAGAGGTGTTTAACATGCTGACTGCCTCTGGTAATGGATCCATCCATTAATTCAGCATTAAATATTCTTCAGAAATCTTCCTATTTTAGAACTTTCATCTCAAATGGGTTCAGTGCTGAACTTTTCTCTGGTATTGCATTATATTAACTCGTGGCTGCCTCTTAACACACACTAATGAGCCTAACCTGGTTGAACTCTTCTCTGTTCTTAGAATTTCTTGCTTACTGAACATGGCAGTTCAGAATATGAATTACCTCATGATCTGACCCTGTGCTTTCCGTACAGTTTCATGACCATTCCTTATGACTCTAAGTTTGCTTAGTTTTGTTTCCTATGGGTACATTTCTCAATTTGATTTATTCTGAAATAGTTTTGAGATGTGTCAAGAAACACTGAAGAAAATGAAATTAGCAAATGGCTGGCGTATGATAGGTGCCCCCAAATATGATTGAACTATTATCCTTTCTATTATTATCTTGATATTCTTGATTGGTTAATAAGTAATCTAGAAAAAATATCAAGGTTATGGTAATTCTGTCCTATAGTATAGAAGAATTTTAAGTAATGGTAATTTGTGTATTATTGTGCATAAATAAATACTCCAAAAACTTTGATAACTTTTTTGATATATTAAATTTGAAACTTCAAAGTCTCCATTAGTTCAAAAGAGAATATTTCAATATGCCTGATAGTTTTAAATAATACTGGATTTTACTTGCCAAGTAAGTGTATTTTGTTCGGAATACGAAGAAGTAAGGAGAAATATCCTCAGTCAAAATATTTAATTATAATGGAAATTCCCAGGTAGAAAACTTGCATGGATTATATAGGAATTAAGAAGTTGTTGACTTGTTTCATATTCTTTGCAATTGTAATAGTGGTTGACAACCATAGCAGCAAAGAAAGATTAATGAAAAATACGTAAGTATAATGTATGTGTTCATACTGTGTAAAATTATTTATTTCACTTGGATAAACATTTAGAACACCATTAAACTTAGACAGTAATGGTTAATATTATATTTCTTTATTATGAAAATAATTACAACCATTCTTACATTTTAGAAAAAAATCAATATAAAGGGAACAATCTTTTATGAGGAAAACAATAAATAAAATCAAACTGTGAAATATTTTGACATTTAGGCATTTGTATTTATTAAAGTGCATGTATGTATGGCTTTTACATGTATAGGAAAAATATTTAATTCAATAAATAGTTGGAAATTTTATTCCAGGTCAATTTATCTCCTTTTTCAGGTAGTTAGATTTAAATACAAAGACATTTCATCAATACTGTTTTGTCTTTTATTTCATACTGTGCACGTTTTCATCCTTTATGCTCTTAGCTTTTCAGTCTAAAAAAGCTATATTCCCAGGTTTAACTTGTATATAACTTGATATTATTGGCCACCATATTAGGACTCAATCTAATATGTAATTTCTAAAATTTGCATCAAACTCCTATACTTGTACATAATTATTATAACACTAGTGACTTCCTGTGAATCTGATGACAATAAAGACCTTATGAATTGCAAACTGTAATTTAGATCCAGGTAATAATAACTGCAGTGGGTTTATTTCTTCTCCTTTAATGCAAAAGTTAATCAAAAGTCTTGTTTCTTTTATTTTTTCGTTACTGAATTATTCTATGATCCTGAATCCCCCATTATTACATTGTGTCTTGGTTATGCTTTTTTTAATTTTTATCAGGTTGCCCTGAAAATAGCTTTGCATCAAAGTGCAAAAGCCCACTTGGAAGATTCCAGGGATGCATGAGACTTATTTCCATCAGTAAAGAAGTGGTAGATCTGATTTCAGTTCAGCAAGGGTCGCTTGGGAACTTCAGTGACCTTCAGATAGACTCTTGTGGCATCTCAGATAGGTAAGAACAATCTCACTTGTTTACTTTAACCTATCCAAATGTTTGGTTGTAGATTAAAATTTATATATAAAATGAACATTTATTCTCTCCCTGCCATCTGTTCCACAGGAAGTGGATTTTATTTACATGAGAAATAAGAAAAATACAGCTGCAGTATATATTTCAAATGACAAAATTTAGATAAAGACATGTGTTATGGCTTGTTTTTAGATGTCTCCCCAAAGCCTCATGTGCTCATAGGTGGAGCTTTTGGGAGATGGCTGGATCTAGGGTGTATAAATGTGAATTAAGGGTGTGTGAATATGGATTAAGGGTGTGATAGCTAGATTTGTCCTCTGATTGGGTTCACATTGTATTGGGTATGGGTAATGCAAAGTCCTACCCTGGATGAAATATAAAGGAAAACATGGAAGGCAGGCTTATTACTTGCTGCCTATTGCCTGCATTGCTATGGACTGTTCCTCCTCTGTGATACCCTTCTGCCATGCCACCCTGCTTTGAAACCATCTGACTAATGCCTGAAACCTCTACACATTGTGAAATGTAATAAACCTTTCCTCTTTTAATTTGTAGGTTTCAGGTATTTTGTCTCAGCAACAAGAAAGTATCTAAGATAACATGTGATCATGTTAATTATATGTACACATGCTACCAATCCTCAAAAGATGTTGATGCTGACATAATTTTACATGGATATAGATGTATCAAAACATGTCATTAAACTCAATAGATTAAGGTGCCCCAACAGTATAATTAATCATCAGGTGCCAATAAATCAGAGACCTCAGTGCTTTTGCTGCCCTCACAGTTGAACAGTATCTTTAGAGACTAGAGAACTTATTTACCTGGCACCTATTCTACTGTGCACCTTTCACAACCTTTCACTATCATCTCTGCAGGAACCCAAGGAGGGCCATCTCCTGGAAATGCTTGGGCCACAGTAACAATCAAGGTGTAAGGATGCGCATGGATTCAGTAAAGCATCAGTATAGGGCATAGCAAGGCAAGGTTTGGTGTTAATTGTAGAGGACAGGCAACTTGTAAAATAATAACAGTTAATAATAGTTTCAAACTGTGGGTAGGCATAGGCAACTGTAGTGAAGTAATCTTACCAGTCACACATTATAACCAAGGCTGCTAAATTTAATTATTGAGTTCAGTGGAATGTCACAGCCATTACAGATTTAAGAAAATCTGTAGACCAGGCCCTATGCTTAGCACTGAACATAAATGAGTGTTTAAGCCAATCTTTACAAAATCCTTGAAACCTGTTCTCAGTAGTATTTTTTTCTTAGGAAGATGGAAGTAAATGCACAGAGAGCTTAAGCTGGTTAAGATGACATGGCTGAGGCACAGCAGAGCCCAGCCCCACAGACAAGAAGCTTCCCTGAAATGTTTGCCTGCCACATCCTATAGCCTAGCAGGATGCAAGTTAGCATTTATGATGGCTAATATTTCATCCGTGCATAATAAACATAATGAATGGTTTAATAAATTATAATTAAAAACAAGCAGTAACATTAAAAACATATTAAAATATGTCAGGAACTTAAACAATTCAGCCCTTCTTTTTTTTTTTTTTACTGTAATTGACTTTAAGCAGGATCAGACCTACACACAACAGTGTGCATACAAACACACATGTACTCACATTCACACAAGTATTTGCAATGCTCTCTACACATATCTACCCATGTAGGCATTGCACAAGTCTCTCTCCCATATTTGCACAATAATATGTTCCATGTACAAAAGTTCCTTCCATACTCACATGTAATCCTTACATGCATTTATATAACTCAGGCAAACTCACATACATGCACACATGTGCACACACATATCACACAAGAATACACAAGGGCATTCAAAGTTTCTGACGTACCCATGCCTTGCTTACACACACACACACACACACACACACACACACACATATTCATCTAGAAGCCCTCCTCTTGGTTTGTTGACATGCATGGGGATGGTCCTGAATCAGGGACTCCAGCTGAAGCAGAGGCCAAGGGCAGAACTGCAGGGAGAGCTGCTCTCCTGGTCCTCACCTCTGGGAGGGAAACCTAACTGGGGGTGGTGGTGGGTGATAGGTGTTACAGGTACTTGGACCCAAACTAAGTATACTTTTACATATCAACTTTTAAAGAATATTAATTGATTGGGGAGGTGACTATCTCAGCCATTAACATCACTAACCCTTCCCTGAGCCTAGGAAGGCAGAGGGTATCACGTGTGTCTGGTCTCAAATGACACTCAGGCTGCAAAGAGTCCTGAGAAGAACTAAGAGGCTGCTGTGTAATGGTGTCTGCCACCTCCACACTTTCTAGGTCCCTGTCCTGGGACTCCATCATGCTTCCATGCCAGTTCAGCTCCATTGCCTGGTCCTTGGGCTCTGCTCTTGATCCTCCCTTAGACCATCTTCCATCCAGGCCCATCATTGTCCTCCCTCCAGGCTGCAGCCTCACAGCCCTCTTCTCCCTTTCCTCTTCTCCACAGAGCACTGTAAAACTGCTCTCCTTCCTTCTCCTTTGTGTCACACATAGGGTTTATTCCAGTTGATTTGAAGATCATGGTGCTAGTCTATGTCCTGCAGAACTGAAGGCATGGTGTTTTGGGGAGGTGGCATGCGGAGTAGGTTGGGGGATTAGTTCTTATCAGTTGTAGGTTTGCAAAAAGATGTCAGATTTGATTTCCAGTGCTCTCCATTGTCCTAGGACCTATAGGTAATTTAATGTCCCTAAATATAATAATGTTATATAGATTTTACTTCAATGCCATTAATTGCAGCTAGATTTTACACTGTACACACCTGTAAGTCTTTTGAAACATAAATTTCAATGGAGAGGGAATCAGGCCAAATCAAATTCTTTCCCATCACTTCAGGTTTAGATATGTTGACATATGCATTTGTTCAAGTTCATGAACAATGAAAATAATAATGGAAATGTCCAAGGGAAAGATTTAGAAGCTTGAGAAAATGGGTTGATGGATTGTCTTACTTTGTATTGGGATGACTAGCAAGGGAAAAATGTAAAATACAATTGTTTAGAACCTTTGAGAAAATGAGTACTTTAATGTGAATGTGAATGCTGTAGGTTACTAGCAGTCACATATTATCACATAATGAATTTAAATAAAATCCATAATTCAGTCTTTCACATTTTATTTAAAAACATAGAAAGTCTAGTCTGACTAGCAAGAATCAAGGAAAAGGGACTAAGTCAGACTTTTGGAAGAAGATCAAATAGAAATTATGTAAATATTATATATATATATATCACAGCAATTAAAGATTAATTCTTTTAGATTTTAGACAAAACCACTTATATCTACTCCTTTAAAAAAAGAATGCAAGGTTTGAAGTCTATTTAAGAATGGTCTGCTCTATTTTTTCTTATTTGATTCCCAAGTAGGATTGTTACTGTTTAGATATTTTAAAATCTCTTTTTCTAGGTTGCCATTGATTTGAAATGATTAAAAATGAAATAAATCATGATGAAGTCTTTGAATGGATTCCTGTGAAATTATAAAAATGCTGAAATATATGTAAAATTAATGGGCATGGAAATATGCTCATTATGTATTTTTTGGATCCTTAACAAGGTGATTGTGAAGTAGTATCAGTTTATGATTATATTTATGAATAAACGTGTGAATATGTGTGTAGTGGTAATTTCTATATAGGAGAATGTGCGTGATCTTTCTTCTTTGTTGTTTTCTGGGTTGTTTGTTTTCTGTACAGTGGACATCTATTAGTATAATCAGGAAAAACAATCAATAACATTTTCAGTTAAAATTGGAAAGATCTTATAAACAAAATATTAAGTCTCCATCCTTAGTTTTAATAAAGGAGTGGTAAAAATCCCATCATGAATGTATTCTTGGCAGGTTTTGTAGTTTGTTTTTTAATTTAAAATGAATGAGAGCAGTGAAAGCCTTGGTTTTAATGTACCATTTATTCTGAATTCTGAAAGTCATCAATAATCCAATCAGGGCTATTTGTGCTAACTGGAGAAGTTCCCAAACTTCTTTGTTCATGGTGCCTACCTCTCTCATAATTTTGCCTCTCAGTCAAAAAATATCCCTGAGACTTTCATTTAAAAAGTGGTGTTGGTCCAAACGATTTGATGAGTGCTTATGTCCTAACAAGTGACTTAACAATGGCAATGCGATCAGTCAAGTGTGTTTGTTAATTGGTACTTATGGAAATGAGGCATTTGTTTCCCATGGTGACTAGGAAACAGTAGCTCTATCCATCTGACTTTTGCCTTTTTAAGGGAAGATATTTCTGGTTTTAAAACTGGAAAGAGGTCGGGGAGATTTGTATCTTCAAGGGACAAAAAAATAAACTAAAATTGAAAGTTTTCTAAAGTGAACCCTCTAAGGAAAGGAAATCAGGGACTATAGTCAGCAGGAAAACTATCTAACATATAGCCATGCTGAGAGGAAGGTTAATAAAGCCATCTTAGTCCATCAGGGCAGTTTGAGTGGAGAGCAGAAATTCCCCAACGTTTTCTTCCATGCTGCCCTAGTTATCTCCTTAGTTTTTGATTGTGACCCTAAACCCAAAAGATACTAATACCTCAGGTCCAAAGGACTTAATAAGTATCTGTGTGCTAATAACTTAGAAACCTTTTTGAAAAATGATACAAATCCAAAGAGATAGTGTACAACTATATTTAACAAAACTGTACTATATTTGAGATTCACGTTAACCAAATACATTTTACCTGCTGTTACCACAAAAACAAACAAAAAAGATTGGGTAGCTGTGATGGATATATTAATTTACTTCACTATAGTAACATTTTAATGATCTCTATGCAAACGTACATCCATGTTGTATACACAATAAAATTTATTAATGAAAAATTAATACACATAACTAAAATACTTGTAAATAAGCAGAATTATTTAGTAATTGGGCTGTGTACATGTTGGGGACTACATAGCTTAAAAACTTGGAATCAGATCAGACACTGTTACAGGAAATAATACCAGAGATGAAATATGAAATATTATATCTTCCAACCTGTTAATTGTATGATACACCAAGTTATTCTTCTCTAGAAATCGAAGAATGAGGCTAGGAATAACTGAAGTTAAGAGTAGGAAGATATTTATTGATAGGAAAGCTCCTGAGGGGAAGGAGGGGTCCCAAGTAGGTAGCCCGGGGACCCCACTTTATGGAGGAGTTTTATAGAATGAAACTTATGTGGGTACAGCATGGGCCACAGCCATGATCATTCAATAAGCTTACAAGTACAGTCACTTAAGTAATGGTGGTTCAACTGGGAAACAAGTCACGCAACAAATGTGAATGGAAAGAACAAAGATTCTCCTAGGAAGTGGTGGGTACAGAGGTCTCTGGTCACCCACCAAGGTGGTTGATGTCCATCTAGACTTCATTAGGCCCAGTGTTTGTGCTTTGACATCTGTCTGTAATATTGTCACTCTCTTATTTTGTTCAATGTCATTTAACATGGTACAGTAATTGCTTTTAAAAAACCAATTATTTGAAACCCAGCTTCTCTAAGACAAATTGTGATGGAAAGAAATGTATTATCATCTAATGTAAATCACCCTGTGGTAGACAGATGTTAAGTATGACAGTTGAAAATTTAAAATAATTTGGAAGCCCATGACTTCCATTCAGCACCCTAGAGCACCCCAAAACTGTCTGGAACTTGTGAGTCTGTGTCATATCCTTCCATATTCCTAGATCTACAGGCCAAATGAATAAAGAAGTCCTTCCTTGCCACTGACTCCTTTTCTTTCCCTTTCTCTATTCCTTTTTTCTTTTAAAGGTTCAAATAATGTAGTAATTCCATGTGATGAAAAGTTATTTCCTGTAAGCTGTTGATATTCCTGGCTCCATAATATATTGTGTTATGTCAAACAAGTTTATGTTATGGAAAATAAAAGTCTCTGACATAGTGAGATGTATTGAAGATTTAAATAGTCACAGCTATCTGGGAACTGGCTGAAATCAGGTGGATTTAATGTTCTAAGGTTTAGTTCTGTGCTTAAAGGATCTGAAGTGTTAGTTGATTTTGCGTGTTGTGGTCGATGCCCTTCTTTCACATGACTATGTGTAAATGATCAACACTTTATGTTATCTAAAGATGACAAATGGTGGTTGTTTCCTCACCTTCTTTTAGGTGTTTGCCTAACTATTGTGAGCACGGAGGTGAATGCTCTCAGTCCTGGAGCACCTTTCATTGTAACTGCACCAACACTGGCTACACTGGAGCCACCTGCCATAGCTGTAAGCCAGACACACCTGCTCGTTCTTGCCCAGTGGTGACTTTCCCACTGCTTTCTCCTTTCCTCCATTGCTGTGTGTTTGTCTGTTTGTGCATGTGCAACTGTGTGTTAGAATATACATTCCCCCTTATACATGGCAAATATATACTTGTATAATTAAAGCATATTCAATTATGGATCAAAGCACATTGAGTCTACTTGTGGGCATATTTCATATACATATTTCTTTTGCTCTGATTTTAATTATCTGGTATTCTCGTTACACAGCATTAGCTAAATTTCTTTTGTAAATTACTTTGAAAATTGCTGATGACGAGCTTTGTGACTCATATTTGTCCTGTGAAAAAAATGTACTTACCTATAGTTTATTTTATGTGAAGAAGGTATATACTGACAACTTTATTTAAAATGTTTCTATTGCATAATTATTGGACAACAGCAGTTTATTTAAGAAGATTACACTATTGTGCTTCAAATGTTAGGCTATTTCAAGGTGATACTGGAAATAGAAATTCCAAAATGGATGTCATAAGGGATCACATTATACTTATAAGATGCTTAACATTTAAATACAGGTCTTTGCTTTGCATGTTCTTCTTAATGTAAAATTAAGCTGAATTTTTATTCTGATGAAATAATCTCATTTTTGTGTAGTGATAAAAGAATCATAAAATATAACCTCCTCTTTTCTATCTTAGCATTTTTGTAATTTATTTAGAAAGAATTAATTTTGTTTTAAAGTACAAATTTTACCTTTTCCTTTAGCTAGTGATGTACACACTAAGCCTAAAATTTAAGAGATTTATTTTATATTCTTTCATTATGATGATCCTTTTCTTGTTTGTTTTCCACAGCTATCTATGAGCAGTCATGTGAAGCATATAAACACAGAGGAAATACCTCAGGGTTTTACTATGTAGATTCTGATGGAAGTGGCCCTCTGGGACCATTTCTTCTCTTTTGCAACATGACTGGTAAGCTAATCAACTTTTACTTAATAGTTAAATCTGCATGAACACTTTAAATGTACAAAGTTAAAATTAACTAAGGAGGAAGTTGATCTAATTTTGTATCTTGACTAAAATATGTATTGTTCAGTAAAACAATTGAGCATAAATCTTTAAAACATTAGTTGAGTGGTAAATGATTTAAAATGTACTGTCATTTTCTGTGCATGTGTGGTCTGTAAAGTACAGATAATCATAAGTGTTGTCTATTGTGTCCTAAAATAATAAAGTCCTAAAATAGGCTTTATTTGTTAGAGTAGATTGATATATGTAAAATCTTTGAAAAATATTTACTTTTTAAATGTATGTAAACATAAAGTTTATATTCTAGAATTTTTTACTTACATAAATGCACATAGACATTAACAGTCATGGAAACTGATGAAATTTAATATCTATTCATGATAAAAAAAGAAAATGTACATTACCAATAGAATAGAATTCCTTTAATTTGATAGAGTACCCACAAAAACTTATAGCTTGTGTAGATTTATAATAAAATAGTGGAAGTTTTTTTCTGTTATGAGCATTAGTATCCTTTATACATAACATTGAATTGGAAGCCCTAGCCAGTGCAATAATGCAAGAGAACAAAGTAGAAAACTATAAATATGAGAAAGAAAGACCTATAATTCTTGTTATTTGTAGGAGCCTAGGTTATATATGAGAAATCAGTCTGGAGATTCCTCAAAAAAAGTAAAACTAGAAATTCCATTTGATCCAGCTATTCCCTTGTAGGTAGCTTTCCAGAAGAGTCAAAGACATCATATTATATGCATACCCATGTTTAGAGCAGCACAATTCATAATAGCTAAATCTTGGAAGTGGCCTATGTGTCTGTCAACAGATGAATGGATAAAGAAAATGTGGTATTGACGCCTGATGGAGTATTACTCTGCCATAAAGAAAGATAAGCTTGAGTCATTTGTAGGAAAATGGATCACATTGAGAATATAATGTTAAGTAAAGTAAATCAGACGCACACACTTATAACATGTATTTTCTTATATCAGAAACTCAAATTATAAATAGGGAGCAAAATAAAAGACAGTAAGAAGTATGGAGACAGATCTTTCTCAAATTGGAAGAGGATCAAGAGATGAAGGGAAGGGGAAAAGAGAAAGGGTGAAAAAAGAATTAAGATGTGTTGTATACCTGTACCAGCTCCACACAAGGAGTATAAACATTACGTACCACAAACATATAGTAATAAAGAAATTTTTAAAAGAATGTTTGAAATAACCTACAGTAAGCTATTATAATTTTAGTTTGTCACTGAATACAGAATTAATTTTATTTCCAGATGCCAACAGTAAGCAATTAGAAAATGATATTTTAGAAGATCACATTTTCAGCAGCATCAAAAAATCTCAAAAACGTGTAATAAATGTAATGAAAGATATGCAAGGCTTCTACACTGATAGTACAAAGTACTACTAAAATCTGTTAGCATTCTATATAAATTGAGTAATATAAAATTTTCATTAAATAGGAAATGCAACATTGTATAACATCAGTTCTTCCAAACTTGATGTTGATTTAATACAGATCTAAATTAAAATCAAGCAGGATGTTTGTTTGTAGGTTGGTGTGATTATTTTGATGAAAATGAGTAAGTCCATCCTAAAACATATAAGCAAATATAAAGGGATAAGAGGAATCAAGTCAGCCTTGAAGAATAGAGTTGAAGGACTCAACTGTCTCTCATTTAAAGACATTATACTGATAGGTTAAGTAAAACAGTATGCAGTTGGTAACAAAATAAGTATACCAATGAAACAAAATAATCTATAAATAAATTCACTCGTACATGGATAATTAATTTTTTGCCAAGATAATATTGATGGGCAGTGAAAGAAATATGGTCTTTTCAACCAGTAGTACTGGGGGATATGAAATATAAAATTCAAGAACAGAAAACTGAATCTGTTCCTTATCAAACCAAATAGAATTCTAGATGAACTATGCTGTCCAATAGGGTAGTCACTTGCAACAAGTACCTATTTTAATTATCACTTAATTATAATTAAATGAATTTGAATACATTTTTAACACACAAACTTCAATAACTTAATCAAAATAAGATCAAATGAAAATGTAGAGTTCTTCACTCTCCTTGGCTCCATTTTAACTGCTCCATAGCTTCCTGTGGCTAGTAAGTTCTGTGCTATTGATCATCACTGGTGTAGAACGTTTCCATCATTACAGAAAGTTACGTTGGACAGTGCTGCATTAGGAAGTCCAAGTTTTATGGAGCAAAACAAAAAGAAAAGGGCAGTATTAAATTGAGGTAGAGGAGGATTTGTTATTAGAATCCACCAGCGATTACCTGGAGAAAGAACCTTCCAGGCAGAGGCAACAACAAATGCTAACTCCTGAGACAGGTGGTCTTGTCAGATGTGTTCAGGGAACAGCTACAAATTCACGGTAGCTGGAGGATGGCAAGTGAGTGGGGAGTAGTAACACAGGAGGAGAGAGTCAAGTAAGGAGGGCAGTGAGAGGAAGGAAGATTCACAGGACTCTTACAACAATGTGGTAAGGTTCTGTTTCTTTGCTTTGTATGAGATGAGATGTTGGAGGGTTTTGAGCAATGGTGGGGTACAATCTGACTGCCTTTAATACGGTCACAGTGGCTGCTGTGCTGGGAAATGCCTATCCAGGAGCAGGGGTGAAACGGAATTAGGAGATTGTATGTACAGCTTCTGAGTTAGAAAAGCTGTTAGGAAGCCATGTGAAGTAATGCAAGAGTCCAGGAAACAGCTGCTGATGGTGGGTTCTTGCCCTGAGCAGAATCAGCACAGCTGGGGAAGGGAGGTGAGAGCTGTGCACTGAAATAGCTGTAAGAAGTGAGAAAGTACCATGGATTTTGGTTAGGACAACCAGAGGGTTTGAATGGCTACTGTCTGAGATGTGATCAGAAAAAGTCTGAGGGGGAAGATCAGAAACCTGCTTTATGCATTTTAAGTTGGAGACATGTGGCGCATTCAAATGCGCTATTAAGGAGGCAGCTGAATATGGGGCAACAGTCCCTTCCTCATTCATGTGTAATTCTCAAAACCACAGGGTGATGGTAAAACCGGGGTGGGGAATCATTATAGAATGTCTTTTTAGAGATTTTCATATAACATAACTTGGCTCTATTAATACAACCATTGAGGAAACTGCCCCATAGACCAAAATGACCTAAAACATTGTATGGCTCCCACACGCTTGTCTTCTAAGGAAGCTCCCCAGTCTGCAGGACACAAATTCCCAGTCAGCACCCTAGGAGTTCTGCCTCAGTGCAACCAATGTCTTAGACACTCTTTCTAGTGGTTCCAATGTGTACACTGGGTTGAAATTGCTGCTTCTCCAAACTTTGTGCACACAAATGGGCCTGTTACATATAACAACCTGAAAAGGCTTCCCAAAGAAAAAAAGGAAAGCTTTGTCAAGTGTCAAAAAAATTCCCATTTGGATAGATTGGCTATGGGTGAAATTTAACCATATACCACTACAAACCTGTGAGTTCTCTGCTGCCAAAAATATGTCTTGAGTTATTCACATACACATATAATACAAAGTTTTGATTTGAAAGTTAGGTAGTTCTAAGTTGATGAAGCTTTAAGAAACACACACACACACACACACACACAGAGCTGATTCTCCTTATTTGCAGTAATTATGTTCTACAAAGTCACCGTAGACACTGGATTAGCAAATACTAAACCTTGGCTCCTAAGGAGAAATATAGTAAGATTAGGCTCCTGAGTGCCTCTTGTGATGATGTTCTCACTTATCAATAAATACTTCTTCTTGTTTTATGTGAAGTTCAGGTTAAAAACACTGTATTTAATACACACATACATGTATGTAACTCATTAAAAATGAACTTACCACCAAAAGCCTTCTAAATCACCCCTGAAAAATGCTTATCTGATGCATGTCACAGCCATTTTATACTTAGGAACACTCAACAACACCTCAGTAATATCAGATGTCAATTTTAAACAACACAACATCACTTAGAAGCAAAAAACTGTGAAAAATGTGTCACACAATAGACCACAAATAGAACATTGTTCTACAAATTGAGAATTGGAACAAGAGACAGGCACCCACTTGCTGAATTTCAGTTGGGGTTGTGTATATTGGATACACATATTTTTTGCTGCCCTGTCCATGTCTGCAAATGACTGCAAAAATGTTGGTTAAAAATATGTTTGAGCAAGTAGGCAAATTCACGAAGGATGAGGGCCAACTGTCTGTCTGTCTCTTATATTTAGTATGGGCAATATTCAGTAATGTATTGGCCCCATGTAAATTACTGAATTACATCTGCAAGTTTTTATAAAGGCAGAGATACCAATATTTTCAGAGACAGGCACATGTATCTAGATGCTCTGGAATATCAAAACAGTCAAACACAAGTGACAGCCCCAGGATACACCAACCTTAGGGTTTACAGCTTCAAACTCTCCTCATTTGTCGGGGGGTCTCCAATTGAGGTTCTCCAGACTCAGGGAGTGGAAGGGCAGCAGGCTAAAAATATGAGAGGGGATGGGTAGGTCAAGAAGGAGACCTTTGCTCTCTTTTCTCACAGTGTGAAGGCTTTTCCACTAGAAAAGCTACCTTCTGTCAAGGACTCTTGTATCTTCCAGTTACCCAAATCAGTATAGCAATTGTGAAACCAAGACAAAAATGCTGAATCTGCAACTTGTAAATGTGTAACCTGTATAAAAACCCCAAGCCTAGAATTAGTGTCATTCAAATGATTTTGCATGGATTAAAATATCTCTAAGCTTTACAAGCTAAACAGTATAAACAAAAAAATCTATTTTGAATGGGTAATTTCCCAAACTATGCTAAAGACTGAAATTTCTTTGTGAATAGAGTCTTCTAAATATAGTTTTAAAATACTTAGGATAAGATGAATCCCAGTGGTTGTTCCCATTGAGATGCAGAGGGTTGTTTTCTTCCACACTGAACTCACTGCTTTTTCTGTAATACCATAATTTTATGTTCAAGGAGTTTTTCATCATCAAACATTGCATTGTAAGGACAACTGTTACATTGGGAAAAAATTGATGAATGCTAGAGAAGTGGCTTTTAAGTTTAGTGCGAATGGAAACTCTATGCGTTAAACTTCCCACTCACCACTGCACCATTACTGAGATTCTTGGGTTTAGTTTCCCTGACTCAGTAAGTTTAGAGGCCACAGTCCAAGTTGCTGCATCATTACCAAACACTCCATGTTATTTTAACATAAGACATATAGCATAATTATTTTTTACTTTAGCGATTTCAATTTTAAAGCCTTCTTAATAGCTAAGAAGTTAGCAATTAACTGTCAGTATTCAGAGGTACCCATGTGGTTTGCTTCAGAATACTTGTTCTTCTTCCCTTTCAGCCTTCCTGCTTTCCTTAATGCAACTCTTCCACCTGTTCTTCAGGTCTTTACCACATCTGTCACTCTCAGCTATTAAGCACGAAGTGCCACAGCTTTGCAACTAACTGTGTTGCTTAAACAGCATATTTTTTTCTTTACACTGTTATCACACTAAAAAATAGCAATCAGCCTAAGGTAAATCAAGTTCTTAATTACTCAGTAGCTTTATTTACAATTCATATTATTAGAAATCTCTTTAGGGACAGACACCAGTATCCCAAATTACCATCGTATGTTTTAAACTTTATAGATTTTGCCGTCTATTTCAGCTGTCTTTTCTTATTCATTTCCCCATGTCTCCTTTGCTCACAACCCTTGTTACATTTAGTAAAGGATAATTTTCAAGAAGGCAAAATCATGACTCACAAACAGATATGAAAGTAAGTGCTTAAAAACATATTTTAGAAAAATATCAATACATTATTAATGAAGTTGGTAAGCTGTTAAAACCAGTTCAAAAGAGAATCCAAAGAACAGATAGATGGGTGTTCCAGGAATATTGGAACAAGTGTGCAAAGGGAGGGAAGGCTGGCTTCCTCCGCTGTGGAGCCAAGTAGTCAGTAGGACCTCTACCAGGTAGAAGCTGCTTGCTTATGCACAAGAATTACTACCTTGTAGGGAACGAATGCTTTTTTTCTAAGCAAAAAAAAAAAAAAAAAATCAACAAATCTACAAGCAAACAAACACTAAAGAACAAAACAATCCTACCAACTTAGGTTAGAGGATGATTAAACTTAGGTTAGGTTAAAGGATGATTAAATGTAAATGTGTTTTGGAAGTTAAAGATAGTAAATTCTCTAGGCAGATTTAAGGGCTTACCTCCTGCAGATGTGTTGCCTACTTTCTGAGAGTAATAAAGGGCTAAGGATTTGTACCTCTCCCTTGGAGATGTGTTGCCTTCCAGAGCACAAGTCTCTCCCTGCATCTATGGAGGGAGCAGGTGCGCCAGTCCCCCTCTGTCAGCTCCAAGCCTCCCAGTGTTGGCTGTCTGTCTTGGGGTGCAAGGGAAGCATGCAATGCTGGGTGTACCTGGCATCAGCCCATGGGATGCTAGGCTGTGAGGAATCCATGCTATTGGGATTCCCTGTGCGTAAATAGGCTCTGGTCCAAAGCCCTGGTGTTTGTTAGGATAGGTAGATGGGTAGATAAATAGAAAGCTAGATACACAGTTCCAGGTAGATATAATTTGTGTATGAGACAGGACAACTTGTTAAATTACATGTAGAGTAACATCTCATTCCCGCCACAGTTTCAGACTTTACTTTGAAATTCTCTCAATGACCTACAATTTACAGTTATAAAATAATTCAACATCAGTGAAAGTTTCCCAGCCACCGTGGATAACAACCTGATAACCTGGAAGGATATGCTGGCATCTGGATGCCACATTGTTTTTATTGATTCGTTTGTTTATTTCTTCATTGCTTCTACATGTGTCTTCTGCATATGGTGCCAAACCTTTGTGCTACTGGAAGGAGACACTATGGCTAGTATGTCAGAAACTGCTGGATGTGGTGGTGCACACCTGTGATCCCAGCACTCTGGGAGGCTGAGGCTGGGGGACAGAAGTTCATACCCACCCTGGGCAAATTAGTGACTTAGCAAGACATTGTCTTAAAATTTAAAAAGTTAAGAAAAAGGATAGGGATGTATTTTACTGTGAAAACTCTGGGTCCAGTCATAGGAATAGTATCACACACACACACACACACACACACACACACACACACTGCACATCAGAAACTATCTCATAGTGAGAGTAATAAAAGAAATCACAAAACATTGTATTACAAATTGTGATGCAGTCTATGAGTCCCATGGTTATTATTTCTAAATGGGTGTTTGCAGACATCTCAGTGAACACAAACCTCTCTGAAAGAACAGGAGGCTCTTGGCTGCAAGCTCCAGACATTTCCCCATTAATCCTACACAAGAGAGAGCACCTGCTTGCAGGGTACGTGCTTCCCTTGCTCAGAATCTCCTGTGATGATTTCATGGCCTCTGCTTTGCCTTGGGAATCTGGAGAATCTGATGGGTGTGACAACTGTTGTGTTTAACTTTGTAACATTTTTAATTAGAAAATAAAACTGCTTACAGAAACTATCATGATATTGAAATACATTAGAATTTCCAAAGGAAACATTTGTATGAGCTGCCCTTTAATGGTTGCCTCTCATCATGGCCTTGAGTTTCATATCACTCCCTAAAATCCTTCAGGATCCTGAGTCAGTTGTGACCAGGGGATGCTAAACTATAGGAGTTCTGCTCAGTGTGACCCAAAAGGCACAGAGACAAAGGCCTCAAGCTGGCTTATTGTCTTGCTCTTTTGGCAGCTACTCTTGCACACCACTGATTCACCACAAGAGAAGGTGAACAGTTCTGCTGAACAATACAAGCACAGTCGGGCAGAATGGAGGCTGACAGATTTGCCTGGTTAATAATAACCTTAAACCTCCAATAGCCATGGCTGAGTGGGCTAAAATGAGTCAATTTCCAACCTACTCTGTTGCCCAGTTCTGCTAATGTATTTTTCAAATTTGGCTACTGAGGCTCAGATTTTACTTGACTTTCCTAAGGCACAGATCCATGCCAGGTCTGCAATCACATATCTTGATGGCCTCTACCCTGTCCTGCTGGTTGCCCATAATTAATTCCATTGGCTTATAGATTATGTGCTCTTTGAGAAAAGCATCCTACTGATAATGCTCTAGGGCAGTGATGGTGAACCTTTTAGAGCTTTCAGTGATACAAACAGCACGCTGCAGCATGCGTGCCATAGGTTCACCACCACTGCTCTAGGGTGAACTGGAATGCAAGGGGGAAATAAAAGTATCAGCTATTGTTTCCCAGGAAGGTAACGATCCACACACAGAAGGCAATAAGGCTTCCCTGTCTCCAGTAGCTGACCTTACCATCTGATGACTGTAGGAGGGTGGAAGTGAACGTTTTCAAAGTCAGCCTCCTTATCTTGTTTGCATGGTTGAGTCCTGTGAATGTGTTAGTTAAAAAGAGGTTGAAAAACTCTATCAGCTATTACTGTTTTCTTTCAATTTGTGATATTTCTCTGTACCACAGAAGAGTTGTGACTAACAGCATCCAATAGGAGAGTTTTGAAAACTCCCAATCTGTTTTTTACTTATCGAACCAGAGGCCTTTTGATCAATCTGTTCCCGTGCCTGCATATATTGCAGCAAATATAGCATGAAAAGGCAAGGGTGAGGATGGGTACAAGTACACGCGACTGCTGTTACAAACACGGTGAAATTTTAATTTCTTCTCAGTGATTTTGATAATCAGAATGAAGGAAATGTGTCCAGACATTCAGGTACCAATAGTAAAAGCTTTTTACTTTCAGTATTAGTTGAGTTGCTCCATTGGATGTGTTCATTTCCAGAGTAACTTCCCACTGCATTGCCAAGCTATACAGATCGCATGGTACCAAAGTGAATATTTGAAAATGTTGTTTAAAAGAAATAGATGTATACTCATAATTAAATGTTGACTAAAGATACACACACACAGACACACACACACACAGACACACACATTTGACTTTCTTTTTGCTGGTAACATGAATACTTCATAAGAATAAAAAAGTAATTGCTTACATTATGTGATACAAAATATTTCACCATTTATAACATGCATCTTTTCTCGCACTGTAACATCACTGATTTCTGGCTGCATCAACAATCAACAATGTTTTGCAATTGTAATAGGTAGCATTTTTCTTTCTTGAAGGAAAATAAAATAATGATGCATCTTTTAAAAAAGATAAAATATCAGATTTGATGAAATGAGATGTATCACAAAAATATAATAATCAGATTTTCTTATAGTTTTCATCATAAATATTGTCTTGCTAAATAAAATGAGAAAGGAAAATAAAATCACTCCAAATGCATGGTGATAGTATACATTTCTGGGAAAAGAGTTACTTCACTTTAATTTAAAATTTTTGAGAATCCATTTATGTTGAATCTACTTCTCAGAGAGGTTAGATGACTAGAGAAATTTGACTCCGATAAAAGGTGACTTTGATTTTCTTTATTTATTTTAACTTTTGCAGACTAGTGATGGTCTCCTCTCTTTCTTCCCCCATTTCTGCCTACAAGAAACGGCATGGACCATCGTACAGCACAACGGCTCTGACTTAACAAGAGTCAGAAATACTCACCCAGAGAACCCATATGCTGGGTTTTTCGAGTACATGGCCAGCATGGAGCAACTCCAGGCCACAATTAACCGTGCGGAGCACTGCGAACAGGAGCTTGCTTACTACTGCAAGAAGTCACGGCTTGTAAGTCAGCAAGGTAAGGAAACTGAGGCATCTGTCCTGCTGCCCATGGTGCACACACAGTGCGCTCACTCAGCCAGCTCCTGAGGATTTCCGTGCCACCCAGGTGCTGAGGGACTGCATGGTTAGCAACATGTCACAGTCTGGAAGCCACAGAGATGCTGTTGCCAGAAGGAAAGAACAAGATCAATTTGCATTGAGCTTTGTTCAAAGCTTTGATTGCTTTCAGACTCTCCTGGCCTTAATGGGATAACTCTACAGTAAGGCTTCATTCTGATCCTCCGTGAATGCTCAGTGTTTATCCTTATAAAGGGCAAGTGACACCTAAGCTTCATTTTTATCATGAAAAAGAGCTAATGCAAATATGACTTCATTTCTTAAAGTGACGATTCAGTGTGGCTCTTTTTCATGAATTGTTGACAGCTCGCCTATGGGTATAATTGAAAATTAGAAAAGGCTGCTGCTGGAAACAGTTGATTCAGTAGCTCAAGAAGGAATCAGAAAACCAGCTTTTTTATGTGATACCGGCAGGGACTCAAACCAGAGGTATTCTACTACTGAGCTACATCCTCATCTCTTGTTACTTTTGAGACAGTCTACCTAACTTTAAACTGACCTTGACCTTGCAATTCTTCTACCTCAGTGTCCCAAGCAGCTAAAATCACCCGAATGTGCCACTGCACTTGGCAAGAAAAACCCCCATGTTAATCCTTTCAAGAATAGGTCTCCTAAATTGTGTTTTGGGGTTTATACTTTTCTCCCTGAGAATCTCTCGAGAGGTCAGGATATATCAGATCCCTCTTCTCTGCCTTAGAGTAGGTCCTAGCCTATAAGGATGACGCTGTCCTTGGATAAGTGCGCAAGCTTTCTCACTCACTGCCCAGATTGCCATCCTTCCATATCTTCTAACCAGATGATATATAACCCAGAGTGTGAATCTTCATGAAGAAAGTTAACCTTAAGAAGCTCCGCTTCTATCATGACACTCCTCCATTTAAGAAGCTCTCCTACCTTTTGTTGCTTACTTATCCAACACGGACCTTCTGCCCAGAGCCAAGGACTGTGTATTCTGGTCAGACCTGCGGATGAATCCTTTATCCCTGCCCCAGCACACTGTTTTGTAGCAGTGATATTTGGGTGTGTTTCGTTGAGTTATTAAAGAAGATTCTAAGAGATCTGTACAATAAAACCACTTCATTAATGTTCACTCCTGGTTTTATCCAGTTCCAGGACTGCAGTTCCACATAGAACAATAAGAACTATTTTTAAAATGTGTTTCATATGAATATTATGTCATATGGATGGATCATCCACAAAAAAGTTGAGCTTTTAGTGTGACATTTGAACCTTTTGTTTCCAATTAAGCATCTCTCCTATTTATTCTCCATCCACTTAATTCTAGATTATTTTCTCCCCTATGCCTGAGTTTCCTCCCACCCTTTTCCCCTGCCTTTTTCAGAATATCCTCATTTGGTCTTTTATCTCTCCAATCCCATCTTGCTTGGCTCATCTTAAATCCTATCCCCCCCTAAAACTTCAGTCCTATCTGTAAATGAGGATCAGACAGTAGAAGTGGAAAAATTATAAGGTGTATAGGTGGGGGGGGGCTAACTTTGGGTTCCAGGTCATTTGTTTTCTAGACATGGAACTTAGATGAATCTTTGATTCCTCAAATGAATGAATAGTTCTATGACTAATCTTGGTCTTTGCTTTCTCACCTCTGAAATGATGCCAATAAAGCCAACCTCACAGGGCTGTGGTGATACATGGATAGCATAACTCACACAGAGCTCATGTGAATGAGCTCCTTTCATCTTCAGCTCTCCAGAGCATTGTGATTTTACTTTAGTATAGTTTTGTGAGTATAGTTTAGTATGGAATTGATTATTCATGGTTGCTGAATATTTATCTTACTCTGCTTGGCATGATCTTCTCTGTGCTCACCTTTGTTGTCATAAATGGTAAATGGGAGGATTTTCTTTCTTTTTAAAGCCGAACAATATTCCATTGCATATATATCAAATTTTCTTTATCCATTCACCTGTCAGTGGACATTTAAGTTGTATCTATATCTTGGCTATTGTGAATAAGGCTGCAATAATTATGGGAGTCTCTTTGAGATAATGGAGGACCTTGTGCTAATTGAAATAAGCTAAACACAGAAAGACAAATACCTTATCATCTTCTTTTCTTGTGAAACCTAAAAAGGTTGAATGCATGGAAATAGAGAGGGAACAAGTGGCTACAGGCGGCTGGAGGAGAGAGAATGTGAAGATGTTGGCCAAAGAGTGCAAACTTGCAGTTATGATTAATAACGGTGTACGGAAATAACAGTGTACATCTTGAGTGTTTGCAACACACACACAGAGGCTCTGTGAAGTGATGGATATGATAACTGGCGTGACTGTAGTAATAATCATTTCACAATGTACACATACATCAAAGCATCATGCGGCACACCTTGAATATATATAAATTTTGTTTGTCAGTTTTACCTAAATAAAGCTGAAAAAAATGAAACAGAAGGAAAGACAATCTTCAAAGTCATCACTGAGCCAAATGGTAATAGAATCAGGAAACAAAATCCCTAGAGAGATAGGAGCAAATACCTCACAAATTAAAGTGATGATGAACATGAAAGAATGTCACCCTTGTGGCCGGTAGGACCTATGAACCTCCTAAGCTCTTTGAGCCAGGCCCGAGAACTTTTGGTAAAGACAGCAGTAGACTCCAAAGGCCAGGGGCCAGGGGACGATGGTAATGTTAGGTACAGAGCTCTCCTCAGGGCCGTGAGCCTCGCACTCCTACGGCATGCGAGGTACAGGTTGAAGTAAGACTGAAAGGGAGGGAACGATTTAGATTCTGAGGTCTCAATAAGAAATATGAGACAGAAGAACAGGAAGACGGTATTCATTCTAGGGTTTCAGATGTCAGTATATCAGGGATTCCAAATGATAATGAGACCATAATTGAAGATAAAGTGGAATGTTATAAAAATGTGTTTTATCAGCTAAGGTTCTGTGCCTCAGCACAATGAAAAGATGATTACTGGGACTCTTTAAGTCAGTTAGGGTTTTGAAAATGGAATATGGAATGTTCTAACTATAGTATTTTTAAATTTTAATTTCTCACAACTTTTGAAATCCATTCTCATAAATTATTTACATTATTTAGTACTCTTTAAAAAGATGTAGCCAAGGTATGTGATCATTAAAATATTCAATGATTTCTACTTTATAGGGACGATAGGAAACTTAGATGAGAAAATATGATTTTTTATTTAGGAATAATAATTTCTGTCTATGAACATATGCAGTGTGATCAAAACTAGGTTGAATATTTACATTTTGTTTTAAAAAATGGTTATAGTAAAAGACACATTGGTATTAATCCCCCTTGAAATATCCTCTCTACTTCTTAGCCATTTTTACACTTAGCCATTTTTCTTGCTACTTTTTCAGGCAGTTCTGGAAGTGCTCTTCGGGGAGTGTCTTAGTTTTGCTCTCCTGGCTGCCTCCATGTCCTGAGCCATTCATATGTTTATTTTCATGGTCATTTTGACTTTGGGGAAGAGCCAGAAGTTGTACAATGTCAGGTCTGGTGAATAGGTAGATGAGGATACATTGCAATGTTTTAAATATATGATGAATGAAGGGTGAATGAAAAATATGGTGAATGTTTAAATAAAAATGTTAAGTAAAATGTTAAATAAAAATGTTTAAATGAAAATATTCATTGCAATAAAAGAGATATTGCCATTAATCCTCCTCAAAATAGTCAAAATTCTCCCCTTCACTTCAAACACATTCATCCCATTATTCTTGACAATGTGTCTTCTACTGTGATAAGATTTTAAAAAAAATTTTTGTAGTTTTGATCACCCCTTGTAATCCTTTCACCTGTGTATTAATATATATCTTGTAAAATTTGACCTTTTAGTAATGAGTTAATCATGGAAATACAAATATGAAAACTCAATATTAGTACTTTTATGTATAACTCAAGCTTCCAATATGCTTTTCTTTTTTCTTTTTTCTCTTTACATGGCTAGATAGCTTGTCTAGTATTGTGAGGAGAGAGATTGTCAGCATTAGCAAGGAGCAATCTAGTAGTAAGTAAAAATGCACATTGACATTTATAAGTAAGGGGGAAAATTAGTAAAAGAACCAGATTCTCAGTGGGGCTGATGGTGACAATTTAAAGCTTTGAAAGTCAACAGAAAAATGGTCACACATCTCTAAGAAGTTGATGGATCTGCTGTTGCTTGCAGTCTTCTTGTGCCCTGGTTCTTGAATGTCTATAATTTTTTCTCTGCATTTTTTCCCCAAGACATATTGCCTACATGCCTCAGTTCCCTTTCTACAAATCGTTGCCTAAATGTTCTGTCTATTCCTTGCTTGAGTTTCTTGGCATCATGTTTAGTTTTAACTCTGAGAAGGAGCTGGTAGCTGAACATTTATCGTAGAAAAAGATGCATTTGGCTAAGGGAAACTTTATTTTAGTGTAATATTCTTTTGAGGCATGAAGATCTTTCAGTGTTCTTTCTCTAGCCTCCAAATAAATAGCCAAGCCTCTAAATGGAAGAGAAAACACGGGCTTCCAAATAAATTTTCAATCATGATGAAGAAGTACCATGCCACGCCTAATGTTTAATCAACAGCTAGTACATTTTAGTCAATAAATACATGAGAAAAATCAGTGACTTTACAAAACATTCCATAATGTTTTAGTGGAACATTTCATAATTTTAAATCAATTTGGCTTTCTTATGTTAATTATCACATTTTATGTTCTGATGCCAATTTGTTTCAAAAATTATTTTTAAAGAAATTGCTTATATGAACTGCTCTCAATACATTTTTTAACGATGATGCTCAATTTAAATTGAAATTGCTGGTTTCGTCTCTGCTGAAAGAAAAATGTATATAAAACTAAATGATGATAGATTACTTTGAAAAAAGTCATCAGAAAATGCCATCAAGTACAGTGTTTAGTATATCTTTATATGATATTGATTTTTTTAATGATTTAGGAATAAAGGTCTTTATGCTTGCGTGGAAACAGACGTTACATTTCTCACCTTCATCTTTCAGATGGCACCCCTTTGAGCTGGTGGGTTGGAAGAACCAATGAAACACAGACTTACTGGGGAGGTTCTGTGCCTGACCCTCAAAAATGTACTTGTGGCTTGGAAGGGAACTGCATTGATGATCAATATCACTGCAATTGTGATGCTGACCGGAGTGAATGGTGACTGTCTTGTAATTTCTTTTTTCAAGATAAAATTTATTAAATTAATCACTCAGTGTATCTATACCAAGTTAGTGCTATGAGAAATAGATAAGGGTAGTTTTTGAGGGAATGTGGTACAGTTTAACCCTGAACGTTACTTAAGTTCAAAGCCTTTTTTAGTTTTTCAGACTAAAACCTCCATTTTATTTGCACAGTAGAAGGGAGTAGAAGCATCTGTTGCATATGAGTCACTTATCATTCTCTTTATAGCAATGCCTAATTAGGTTTTCCCTTATTTTCAAAATATATTTATAGTCAATTGCCAAAGCATAATTCATCAATAATCTGTGAAGGTTGTGACTTAACTGTGTACCTGTAAAAATGAAGACGAAATCCTCAAGGAACAATAACAAAATTCAAGAATCTTTATAATGTATATAATATCCAGAATAATAGTACAATTATTGAATATTTCAAGAGAAGAGTATACTTTGCTCTAAAGTCCAGAAATTAAAAGAAGTTATTAGAGAAACCCCGGGACATGGGAAAATATTAGCAAGGGAAAACTTTAAAGTAACTATTATTAATATATCTAAAGACTTGAAGGTAAAAATAATTATAATAAATGTAGAATGAACTTTAATCAAATAGATGAGAACTATTACATTAAACAACAAAATATAAATTTTAGAATATTGATGTACAATATCTGAAATGAAAAATTCTAACAGCCTAAGAGAAATAATGTCAGATGAAAACTCAGATATTCAGAAAGATGTCAAGTGGCCTGGAAATTATAACAGTGTTGATAAATACAAAAACCCAGTGTTTAAATTCTTTTTTATTACAAAAATAAAATTCACTATTTAATTGTATTGCATAATTTATAATAGATGGATTTAAATAATGATAACAATAGCATAAAAAACAAGTATGTGAGTGAGGGGTATAGAATAAATTAACCAGTAGCAAACTTCTGACATTATACTGTTAGACACCATAAAATATAAGTAGGCCATGGTAAATGAAGAATGCATTTTGTAATTCATGAAGTGAACATTAAAATACAATGAACAGAGTTTTAGCTAGAAGTTAATAGAGAAAATAAGGTTGAGTACCAAACAGTATGCAGTAGACTAACATGAGGCAGCCAAGAGGGAACAGAAATGCAAGAAATCATATGAGAAAAACCAACAAATAGCAAAATGCTGGACGTTAAGTGCCCAGAATCAGTCATTACACTAAACATTAATGAATTAACCATTTCAGTCAACAGGTAGACGGAGTGGCCCATTGAATTTAAAAATCTCCAACTATATTCTAAATTTATATTATTTTATATCTAATTTGTATTTTATATCCTATATTTTAATGTCTGCAAGAGACATTAGATATTAGTATATTTTATATGTTGAAATGAGTAGTTGGATACATATTCTTTGGTAAAGGTGAAAATTTACCTTAGAACATCTTGGTTTTGAAATGCAAGAAGAATTATTATTTATTTTAGAATTACATTAATCAGAATAATTTTTAGAGCTGTTTTGTTGCTACTATTTTTCTTTTTTTTTAGGACCAATGACACTGGATTCCTTTCTTATAAAGAACATCTGCCAGTAACTAAGATAGTAATAACAGACACGGGGCGGCCCCATTCAGAAGCAGCTTATAAACTGGGGCCTCTACTCTGCAGAGGAGACAGTAAGTGGTTGCAGTGTTTTGTGGACACGTCTGATGAAATCTATGTCACTTAAGCATTATGTTTCTCTCACAGGACGACTGATCAGACTTTTGCTGTGAAAACCCACAAGTACTGTTGGAAATTTTCTTTCAGTCAGTCAACAAACAAGTACCCCCATGAAATGCAAAATGTGTGATAAATGTGGAGATGGCAAATGCTATTAGGCTTCTGAGCGGAAAAAAAATCGCTGGGATTTTCAATTTAATGGGTTCTTCAATGTATTCAAACATTCGTAAATTTCTACATATCATTATCTACACAGGAAAGCCTCAACGCTGTACAAAATTGGTTAGAATTCATGTGAATTTCCTACTGTTAGGCCTGAGGTAAAATTAAAACATAAATAGACTCAAAAGTCAATTTGATCAAACATATTTCAAGTTTTAATTTTTTTAGTGTGACTGTGTGCGTGTGTGTGTGTTGTGTTGACTTTAGACCAATGAGACATACTGTTTCTTATATTCAGTGTATTAACATGCAAAGTCAGAATTGTAAAATTCCAACATTGTTTATAAACACACTCACATATTTTCAGCAGGGAATGAAATGAGCATATGCATCCATTCATAGATCGTTAACTTTCCTGAAATCAGTTATCTTAGAGGTAGATGGATTAATTATGTGTGCTTTTAGTATTTCCAGAACTTAAAAAGAAAATAGAAGAAATATCTGTTTATGTTGAAAACATACTTTAGAATAAGATTTCATTCTGGGGGCTCCACAGAAGGAAAGAGGATCTGACCACCCAGGAGACGCAGGGGTATGCACAGCAGAAGCTGCTTAGTTAAAAAGCAAGGATGATACTGGCCTATAAAGATTATATACACATTGTATAAAGCTGTCTGCTGTTATACCACCATCTCTGATGTTTATCTTCTCTACTTCCTGTCTGCCACGGTTGTGCAGCCACATGAAGATGACATAGGATATTTTGTAGAGAGAAAAATTATGTGCAAATAGATGAGATTATAAACTCAGGATGCATCCAAGGAGCGTAGTGATTTTTCATGGCTGCAGAGAAGTTCTATACACCCTATACAGTTTTCACAGTGTGCTCTGATATTAACACCAGGCTGGCTTCCCTTGTCTTCTTTATTCCATTTGCCGCAATCCCTGGGAATCAGTCTACTCTGCCTAGGATCACTACCAATTTTGTCCCTTAAATTTCTTGTCCCCAGACTCTCTGCTGTGAATGTAAGTGCGTAACGACTATTTCTTTGGAGCAATGATTCTCCATCCAAGGCCCCTCCTCCTGGCGGTCATTAACAATGTGTGGAGATGTTTTGGGTTGTCACCAGCGGGAGGTGGCTGCTTCTGGCCTCTAGAAAGAAAGGCCACGGAAGCTGCTGCGCTTCCTGTATAAAGTGCATGGGACAGCCCTCCACAGAAGGCTTACCTGCTGTAAAGTGCCAATCATGCCAAAGCTCAGAAACCAGAGAATTCACTTCTTGTAACCATAGGCACAAGAAGAGGGCAACAGCATCGCCACTGAGAATTAACACAGTGTCCAGTATTTAGAAGCCCACTAATCTCTGACGTATTAATGAAACAACCATTGAGTGTTTGGACTTGTCTCCTAACTCTATTTTTAGAGTTGAGGCTCATCTTCACATGAGATCAGAAGGACTATTTTCTACCAGATTTCCTCAGTCAGAAGAGCAATGACTGGAGATTAGTAAATACCTTTTCTCTCTATGGGAAATCTGCACCTTTTAAGGTTCTGTATCCTTAATTGCAGAGCATTTTTCTTTCCCAGTGAAGTACACTGGGTAAATACGGGGCTTATTGATATGGAATCCTGCACACTGGGCCTTCCAACCAGAGGAACGTGCATGGAGATTTCTCTTCAGAGCATCAGGGCCGGACACTGAATAACTGAAGGCTGAAAAACAATTTAATTCTTATGGTTCCATTAAGAGCTTAAAATAAATTATAAAGACCAGTAAAGTGACCTTTGACATAAAACAAGGACAAATGATGAGGACTTAGATTGGACAGAGTGGCACTGGACTTAAGGAAGAAGGGAATGAACTAAATGAAGTAAATTCAATATGATTTAGACAGAAAGTTGAGCATCAGTGTTTGGAGGATGCCCTCTGGCTTTCTGATTTGAATGAAATTATTACTGTTCATTGAAACAAGAGATGTTTACATTTTCTTTGAAGAGCTAAGAATAAAAGAAAGTTGTTTTTTTAATCCTATCATAGAAACTAGAGATGTAGGAAATTTTATATCTATCCATATCTTTATAGGAGAAAAAAAGAGACTTTCAGAAAAAGGAAAAACAAATAAAACATGAATATGAGGCCTACTACTAGCAGATATGAGGTTACCCTTAATTAACTGATGGCATCTTTATTTTGCAAATCCTTTTTATTTTGCTTTTAGTTTGTTTGTTTGTTTTGTGGTACCAGGGCTCAAACTCGGGACCTTGCGCTTGTAAGGCAGGCAGCGGAACCACTGAGCTAAATTCCCCACCCTTTTTCATTTTGCTTTTAACATAGATGCATCTGAAATTTCCTTTACTGCTGCTATTGTTTTTGATGTCAGAAGTCATACATAGAAATTGGTAGGTATTTCTAAGATCGCAAAGGATGTGAGTGCTAAAGCTATCTTTTAAAGTTGTGCTCCAGACATAATCTTAGATAATATTACTGTATTTAATTTATTTATGAATATGGAAATGTTTTGTCAGTAAATATATGAAAAGTAGGTCACAATTCAACATGCTGCCTATGATAAAACTAAACATACTAAAAACTGGAGAGAACGCTTTAAATTTTTTAGTGTATAACTGTTTACATTCTTTGTGGAGAGTTGCTACATACATGCAATACGTCTTAATTCCTTTTTCACCCACTTTCCCTCCTCTCCCTCCCCTTCCATCCACCTCTTGATCTCCTTCGGTTTTCTTTTACATGTTTGCGGTACATAGTGTTTACATTCCTTGCGTGCAGGTGGTGTATGTACATAACACATCTTAACTCCTTTTTCTAAAATCCCCTTCCCCCCTCCCCCACCTCACTCCATCTCCTGATTCCCTTACTCTTTGGGAGAGGAGAAAGACTTATGTTCCTACTTCCTATCATCTGTCTTCTATTATGCTCTTTATTTATACTTCGGGCTTCTCGTATAAGAGTAACCATGTAATATTTAAACTCATGTGGCTGATTTATTTCGCTTAATACTATGGTCTCAAGGTACATCTATTTTCCTATAAATGATTCAAATTTGTCTTTCTTTATGGCAGAATAATACTCCATTGTGTGTAAATACTGCATTTTCTTGTCCATTCATCTGTTCATGGACGTATAAGCCACTTTCAAATTTTAACTATAATGAATTGTGCGGGTATATACATGGGTATGGATGGATCACTGTAATATGATGTCTTTAACTCTTTCAGGAAGATACCTAGAAGTGGAATAGCTGAGACAAATGGAATTTGTAGTTTCTGGGTTTTATTTAAAGAAATTTCCATACTGATTTCCTAAGTGGTTGTACTAGTGTGCATTCCCACCAACAGTGTAGAACTGTCTTGATGTTATAAAGGGCATCTGTGAAAATCTGACAGATGACATCTTACTAAATAGTCAAAGATCAAAATGCTTTTTCCCTAAGATCAGTATCAAGGCAGAGATAACTCTACTCACCACTCCTGTTCAATGTAATGCTGCTGATCCTAGTACAGGTAATAAGTTAAGCAAAGAAGTTCAAGTCATATAGTAGAGAAAGGAAGGAACAAAATGTCTCTATAGCCTGGGAATGTGGTTTTCTAGGTATAAACCCCCATAGAATTTCTGGAACAGAGTGAATTTAGCAAAGTCACAGGATACAAGGCTGATATGCAAGAGAAAGAAGCATTTCTATATGCTCTTAGTAAAAAATTATAAATTGAAATTTAAAAAGTATTTTTAGATTTGTTTCAACAGTATGGGATATTTGGTGTAAATATAACAAACAAAGCATGAATGAAAAATAATTGAAGAACTAAAGAAAAAGACTATTTTCATGGATTTGAGTGATTATGACTGAAATGTCAGTTTTCCCCAAATTGATATGTAGAGTGAATACAAAGCCAACTGAAATCCAGCAGGATTTCTCCCTCTCTCCTTCCCTCCCTCTTTTCCCTTTCTTCCTTCCTTTTGTTTTTCCTTCTTTCATTCTTTTTTCTTTCTTTCATAGAAATTGGTATGCTTATTATAAAATGCATTTGGAAAAGCAAAAAAAAAAAAAACTAAAATAGCTAAAAACTAGAAGTTTGAGAATTACTGACATGGAGATAGACAGATTAATGGAATAGAATAGCAAGCCCAGAAATCAACTTACATATTCATTAGGGATTGATTTTTGACAAAGCTTTCAGACAATTCAGTGATGAAAGCATAGTCCTTTTCAAGACATAGTGGTGGAACAATCAGAATTTATTTGAAAGAGAGAGGGGGAGGGAGAAACTCAACTCTGAATTAGAAACAAAAATTAACTTGAATGATTATAAACTTAAATATAAAATCACAGATGATAAAACTTTCTAAGAAAGTATAAGAGAAAGTTTTAGTGGCTGTGGATTGGACATAGATTTCTTAGATATAACACTAAAAGCACATTTCATAAAATAAAATTTATAAAAGATAAGTTAAGTTTCACTAAAATTAAAATCTGTTTTTAAGATGATGCTACATTTTCTTTTAAAGATGTCATTTTAAAAAGATACATCTGTTTTTAAAATAACTCAAGAAAAAAGATATACCCTGGAAGAAAATATTTGGAAAATAACATAGCTTATAAAGGTTAATATCCAGAATATAAAAATAACTCTCTTGCAGTCCAGTGATTAAAAATAATAAAGTCAAATTAATAAATGGACAAAAGATTTGCACATATCTTTAATCAGAGAAAATATATGGATTTTAGATAAGCACATAAAAAGATCCTCAACATTGTCAGTCATTAAGGAAAG